CCTTTTTTTCACCCCCATAACCTATTAAAAGATGGGCGAACCAAAACCCCCGGAACCCCACACCCCCCCATGGGGGCTGGGGAATCCTGGGAGTTGGTCCACACATCTTAAAATGGCTAAGGTTGAGAAACACTGCCTTAGAGAGTGTCAGCAAGGCTCACCCCTGAGCTGAAGAGGCCTACTAGTTCCCCTGGGGTTAGTTTATGGCTCAGAGTCATACAAATGCAGTACATTGGCTCAAGTAAATCTACTTTCCCCAACTTGAGGCCAACCAAGTGTGTTGGGATTGTGACTAATGTGTTAGGATAGCGTGTTTACTGACTGCAAGAGGCAAGCTTCCTACGCTCTTGCTTTACACAAGGCACATCTTTTAGCAAAAGTGGCTGCCAAACCTGAAGGACTAGCTGCTAAATTCCAAACCTTCTTCAAGCAAGGTTTTGAGACTTCAGGGATTTCTCCATTGCGCAAGTCTGGGAGTTTCCCATGGCAAATACAATATATCCCCACAAAGTCTTCCACTGTCTGCTCCTTTTAAGCCACTACAAACTAGAGGGAATGTGGAAAGAATGTGTTGTTGCAAAGAGCACGCAAACGTCCCTACTCAGCTGAACACACAAAACCAGTCTCAAACATCAGTATTGACACGTTGCCTTAGATTGTTTAGAAAATATGCCACCCTTCTCAGCTTCTGAGATATTATCTCAAAATTACTTGTTCTTTTCTCATTGGACAGAAGTCATTCATGATGCAATTCAGCCCTGAAAAGGGGCCAAATATCCCCAAAGTTCTTTGGATGGGTAATAATTTAGTAATATAGAATCAGTATCTACCTTCTTCTGGAAGCTAGTTTTTCAGTGACATGAAGATGCTAGGAACTGAACTTAACAAAAATATGCAAAATACAGTAAGATCATCCTGGAGAAAATCTATGTGGTTGCTAAGAGTCAATACCAACTTGATGGTACATAATCAATCAATCAATCAATCATTCAATCAAAGGATGAAGAGCATGGGAGCCTTCAGAACGTGTTGAACTACAACTCCCAACAGCCTCACCAGCATGGCCAATGGTGAACTGTAGTTCAGCCATCTTAAGAGGTCTACAAGTTTCTCACTCTGGTCCCAACCATGGGACTTACCCTGATAAGAAAGCAGAAGAACATCTTATACCAACAAAGCCCATATCCTTCAAGGTTGCCCTCGCCAACCAGAGGTCATCTCACTGATCTACCCAGAATTCTGGGCCTCAGTTGTACCATCTTTGCATCTCAAGGATCTGCTCCACCACTTCACAGGGTCCTCCCAATCAATGGACACAAGATCTAGCTTTGCTCACAAAGAAGCTGCGGAGCATCCTTCTGCAGATGGATACTCTCCAGAGGAAATGGCTTTCTAATCCCATCACTCCTCCAATTGGGGGACGATGGGAGTTGAAGGCCACCAATTCTGGAGGGTAACCAAGGAAGGTTGCCTGAAGAGACTGGAGAATTCGGTCCTTATCATGGAATTACAAGTCTGGTAGCGAGAAGAAGAGTTTGCAAACTCTCTCAGTTTGCAAATGACGCTCCTTATTGGGCAAATGGTTGCAAGCTCTCCGTGGGGTCCAGAACCAGTTGGAAGAAAGATCAAAGGGATCAAGGAGGCCTCAGTGCACCATCCAAGAAATGGGGTGCAAAAATACATACATTCCAGGATCATTCTGCAATCAAACCCTTTCCATAAAGTTGTAATTAAGCCTTTCCATAAATCTGACTTCTCAGCCCTGCTTCCCGAACAGGGCGCCCTCAAGGGCGATGCCTCCATCATCCCTCAGCCCCAGGCTGGGGATGATGGGAATGAGGACGCCCTGTTGGGGAAGGCAGGCTGTGCAGAAGGGATCCCTTCCCCAAGGGGGGGTTGGACTTCCTCTCCCATCATCCCCAGCCCCCGGCTCACCGTGGACGTCCCCCGCCAAGGCGCGCCAGGTGGGCGCGAAGGCCACGCAGTGTCCGCAGGACGAGGAGTAAAACTGCACCAGCCAGGCCG